TTTTCACAATTATGGAAGCAAACCTTTCGGATGACAAATTGAAATACTACCAATTCCCAGGTTACACCCTGTACAATACCGGCAAGTTGCAAGTGAAATTCTGACTGGAGTAACAGAAGGCCTCACATTACATTAGGATCTAATCAAAAGTATGGGCTTGACACAAGACATATGTGAAATAATCAGATTAAATGTTTGGAAATGTCAAAACCACTTCAAGGTTTATGCTACTCTCCGAAACGAGTAACTTCAGTCCTCATTACTCAAATACATTTATATAAAATGAAAGTTTAACCGAAGTTTTCGCATATTATAAGTGCACAGGAGCATGACCCTATCTAACTGATGTAGCAGATTGTTGATCTCCATCTAACTCTGTATCTAAAGTACTTTATTGTAGATGATGAGTTGATCACCATTAATCTAGTCATTTTAGCCTTATCTATTAACTTCCCGTCTAAAATATCTAGCCTAGATGAATGGCTCAAACCAACTTAAAGTCATTAAGTGGAATGCATACTTTCTCAACTACCATTCAAAAGTGGCATAGATGAAGGAGATGGAATTGTTCCATATATGCATATTTTGACAAGATTTGGCTCCACGTTTACTACATTATTAGTCAACATCGTTATGTTACACTATCTTTGCTTTAGCCATAAGAAATACTATGATTTGCTTAATTTTAACTGCCATCCTAGATGATTTTTAAATGGATTTTTATGTAATATACTAGATTTCGTTATCAAGGAATTTACATTACTTTATTCTAAAATCGAGATAATCTTTAGAGACGCCCTGCAAAGCTGCAGCCATTCTTGGACCCTTCTAAAAACTTTATTTCTCCACAAGGTTTAAATTTTCAATACATTTAAATATTGAAATTCTTTTCTTCCCGATTCTTGATAAACATATTGTTAAATGGGAAAATAGGTATATAAGTTCAATTTGGTAATAAAGATTATTTTCTTTTTCTAAAACACAGACCAGCTTTGTAAGCAAAAGTTTACAAGGCTTTGTGACTAGATCACAAGTATACACAGAATTTAACTAAATGAACTCTAACTGGGTAAGCAGTAATAAAACTGAAGGGAAGACATTATTAATAGATAAATGCTAAGCCACTGTGTGGGTGAGTAGTAGCAAGAGTTAGTAGATGCATTCCAATTGATCAAAAAAGCGCGGGAAGAAATGGGAACAGATATATTTTAAATTGAAAAAGGAGAATTTATATACGAATCAAGGCATGTCAATTGAGTCGTTTATTCATGTAGACGCAGGAAGATAGAGAAAGTGATTGAGGAATATTTTATAAGAATCATAAGACGTCTTCCTTCCAAAGCTAATATACATTACGAAGTGCTCAAACTACCATTGCAAAAATGGTAGGCTGGGAGGAAAAATTTATACAACGTCAAACTATTTCAAGCATAAATACATGTAGCTTTCATTTCCGACCTTATTAAAGCAGTTTTTGGATTGAAGAGTGTTTCAATATAACAGATATTCACATGAAAATAAAAAAAATAGGCTCATAGAGAGATCTATAGGGTGAAAATCGTGAATCATATAGAAATATGGAATAATTTTAATGATGAACACTATTCGACTTAACGTTATAACGGACCAAAGTGTAATAAGCTGTGATTTTTTACAGATTTTTTAGTGCAATATTTAAGTTTTACTTATTTCGAATCGAATAATTATAAACAAGTTTATGTGTTTATACTAGGTAATTAATTTTTGTCAAGGTTACGCCTCTTTAAGTGCTGTCTTATCACTTATAGTTCTTGCGATGGCAAACCCCTCTGGTGAAGGTAGGGTATGCAAGGTGGCACTTATTACTGGAATCACTGGACAGGTAGTCCACATTTTATTTACGATTGAAGTATTAGGATGGCTCTTATCTTGCCGAACTGCTTCTGTCCAAAGGCTACCACGTAAACAACCTGTTAAAATTTCATCTAGCTTTCTTAGGTTCATGGCATTATAAGGCGTTCTAGCTCATTTAACACGCAACGTGTTGATCACTTATATCAGGATCCTGTTGTCTATCGTGGTAGACGTAAGTGCGCTTTCCTCTGTTTATTGTGACTTTAGAAACATTTTTTTTGCATTATGGTGACATGACTGACAGTTCCAATCTATCTCACTTAATGTCAAGAATAAGACCTGATGAAGTTTACAATCTTGCTGCTCAGTCACACGTTCAAGTTTCTTTCGAACTGAGCGAATATACCGGTGATGTTGTTGGGATTGGTACAACGCGACTTCTTGAAGCAATTCGTTCTGCGGGTCTTGAGAAAACTGTCCGTTTTTATCAAGCCTCTACTAGTGAGCTCTTTGGTAAAGTTGCTGAAATACCCCAAAAAGAAACTACTCCTTTTTATCCACGTTCTCCATACAGTAAGGTTCTTTGTTCGTCTCCATATTGAGCATTTCAAGGTGCCGCTAAGCTCTATGCCTATTGGATTGTTGTAAATTATCGGGAAAGCTATAACATGTTCGCCTGTAATGGTATTCTCTTTAATCACGAGAGCCCACGCAGAGGAGAGACTTTTGTCACCCGCAAAATCACCCGTGCAGTCGCTCGAATTAAACACGGCAAGCAGGAAGTTGTCGAACTTGGTAATCTAAATGCCGAACGTGATTGGGGCTATGCTGGAGATTATGTTTATGCAATGTGGCTTATGCTACAGCAAGACGAGCCTGTTGACCTAATAATTGCCTCTGGTGAGAAGCACAGCGTAAGAGAATTCGCGACTAAAGCCTTTGCACGGGCTGAAATCGAAATAGTGTATGTGCTTTAATATCCACTTTATCACTCATTTTCGAGTTTAGGTGGGAAGGCGAAGGCTTAAATGAGGTTGGAAAGGATAAAGCCACGGGAATCGTTCGTGTTCGTGTTAATCCGAACTACTTCCGTCCTGCAGAAGTCGTAAGTTGCTTATTCGATTGTATTACTTGCATAAACTACCAGAATCTTTTTTGATTCATTGGATGATTGAAATGGTCAATCGTAATAGCTAATTTTGATACATGTTTTATTCGATAAGCTTATCACTTGGATTGGTACCTGAGAACACGATTTCTATTTTTCTTCTTATAATTGCCCATTTATCTTAGGAGCTCTTAGTGGGTGATTGCTCTAAAGCTGAGAAACTCTTGAAATGGGAAAAGAAGACTGATTTCGACGCGTTGGTAAACATGATGGTGGATCACGATATGGCTCAAGTCGAGAGGTCGCTGTGAAATGATACTGTGGGGCAAAGAGATAAACGATATTTGTCATTTTCTTCCCAGTTTGCTTATATAATACTTCTACTTTTGATTTCGACTGTTGTCTATTTCATAGGAATACAAATGTGATTTTATACTTGTTTCACATTTCGATATTTTCATCAGATCAGCATTGGATTGGGTAATACTTGCGGTAATTATAGCAATATTTTGAAAGTCTTCGTGCACTAAAAACCTGGGATTTTACTACCAGAAGGAATATTAGTAAGTACACTTATGGGTAGTTGATGGGTTAGTCGATATTTCACTGGTAAGTGAAAGAGGTTAACTGTTGTTGCGTCGGTTAAATGAAAAGATTATTTCATAATGTTATTTGGATCGTGGATGTACATGTTTATGCGTTTAACACATTCTCACTGCCAAATAGTTATTTATAAGTAAATAGTTTACTTGAACACAGTCTTCGTCATTAAAAAATAAGCTTTTTATCTAATTCGAAGTTTATCTTTGATATATAACTAAAAGTAACGATAATTTTGCGTATAATTATTTCGCTTTATTGGCCACTGTAGAGAAAAAAATAACTGAAGCAGTCAGACTGATTGTTTTAAATAAATAACCAATCTATAGGCACTGGATAAAGCAGATATTTTCGCTGAAAAATCTAGGTGCCGAACCATGGTATGAAATAAATAAGAAGCTTTGGCTTTACGACTCCACTCAATAACTTAATGTGGTGGGCTGAGTCCGCGATCGCCAATTAATTAGGTATAATTTTTTGGTTAATGGTACGTTAACCAGGTTAGTCTTGATATCGTTTAGCATGACTAGTTATATTTCCAAGTCTAACTGGAACACCACATTAAGTCTGTAGGAAGGCTGAGAGCTAATTAGGTCAATAAGTTTATTGGTCAATTTGAAATGAATAAGAGGGAGTGGTAGAAATGGTAAATGGTGGAATTTACAAGAGGCGTCATTATTGAGTCAGGACAATGAGATCTGATAAGGCCTACATTGTTTATTAGAGGCTAATTGACAGGCAGGAGGAGGTTAATTCAATTTCTTAGAACCTTGATTCGTGTTGGAAAAGCGGTTAGATAAAGTCCCATTTATTCTCCAAATACTCGACGGTATATGAAGGTATCCTTTTGGATGAAAACAAAGGTGTTCTATTGGTGATTCTTCTCTAAAAAGCTCACATTTAAGTTGCTCCAGTTTTACAAAATATCTACCTAGTTCTTTGTATTTAAAGTAGTCAATGTGATTTCTATTATGCGGCATGAAGAAACGTCGAAAACGATGCAAGCATTTCGGATTTCTTTGGATGAACATTTCCCCCAAAATCGAAAGCACACAATTGATTTATTAAGTGCCTAATTTGGTTTCTCATCATTGTCACTGTAAATTTAGGATATTTTTTTGTAATCAAGTATTTACAGTCGAGAATACTCAAAAGTCTATAGTTTAAAGTTTGATATTGAAGTCTTGGACTAAGCTTATTGAGAGGGGGAGAAACGCCTGAACCGAATCCGAAGACAACTTGGTCTTTGCTAATGAAGTGGTTTAAATTTAATAAAAAAGTAACTGAAATCTGAGTCATCCGTGATTTTTAGTTAAATTAGTGAAATCTCCTTAAACGCTGCAGTGGACTGATACACTAACAAGGCCTGACTTATACTTAGTACATTCTATGGCATTTTCTCCTTGGTTGGAATGGCTCCAGAGATTACCTAAGCTACTGCAGGGCTTTTGAGAAAACAGACGTATGTCGTGAAATAGGTTTATTCGGGTGATGCTATGTTGGGGGTGTATTAGGTTGGCAACTAAGTCATTGCCGATTTCAAATAAGAAGGCAAATTCGGAATTTTTGTTTAAAAATATAACTTTATTCAATTAGATATTGGCCGTTCTTGTCGATGACCTTTTTCCATCGTTCTGGCAGAGTAAAAATTCCCCGTTCGTAAAATGTCTCGTCTTTGCTATTAAAAAACTGAATTAGGTGTGATCCGACATCATCCACGTTGTTAAAAATTTTACCATTTAAAGAGTTTTGCATGGAACGAAACAAATGGTAATCCGAAGGCGCAAGGTCAGGGCTATATGGTGGGTGTGACAAAACATCCCAACCCAGTTCCAATAATTTTTGCCGAGTAACCAAAGATGTGTGGGGCCTTGCGTTATCATGATGAAAAACAACACCCTTCCGATTTGATAATGCCGGCCGCTCATCTTCAATTGCATCCTTCAGTTTTTCGAGTTGTTCAACATACACATTTGAATTTATCGTTTGGTTCTGCGGCATGAGTTCAAAGTACAAAATTCCTTTGTGATCCCACCAGACTGACAGCATAATCATTTTTGGTGAATCTCTGCTGCTTTTGATTCTGTTTGGGCTGGTTGATCTTGCTTCACCCATGGTCTCTTGCGAGTAACATTGTTATAAACTATCCACTTTTCGTCGCCAGTAACTAGGTTCTTCNTTTCAGTAGCGAATCACAGATGCTAATCCATTGCGTCAAATGAATTTCCTTTAACTGGTGAGGGATCCATAAATGAAGTTTCTTGACATAACCAAGGGTTTTTAATTTTTTTTTTCAATGTATGTATGCGACACATTGAACTTCTCTGCAATTTCTCGTGTTGTGCTGTGACGATTTGAATCGATAATGGCCTTGATATGGGTTTCATCCACTTCGACTGGGCGGCCAGATCGTTGTGAATTTTTCAGTGAAAAATCACCGGAACCAAATCTTTCAAACTAATTTCGACACTGGCTTACTTTTAAGGCTTCATCTCCATATACGCCACATAACTTCTTTTGTGCTTGCGATGCGTTCTTGCCTTTTCGGAAGTAATACAATAAAATGTGTCGGAAGTGCACGTCCTGTTCTTTCATTTTTAAATTGGGATAAAAACAAAACTAAAGAACTAAACAAAAAAATTTTTTACTAATTAACCTAGAAGCCCATACAGTAAGAAAAAAATAAAGGTTAGATGCTCTGGCCACGTTAACAAAACAAAAGAAAGTATAGAGTGAATCTGTCAACAAAAACGACAATGACTTAGTTGCCAGCCCAATATATCGGTCGTGATTTTTGGGTTGTTTCCGGGGTGTGTATCGGCTACGTTTTGTTACAATGTTTACTGACATGAAGATAGGCCATTTTTAGCTTTCGGTTATGTCAATAACATAATGATTTTCGTTACTGGTTGAGCTGGAGGCCTCTGAACTCTCGACCCCATACCGTAATTGGCATGACGCAAGCTATGTTCCAGAATATTTGGACGTCCAAGTGTTCCTTGGCTTCAGTCACTCTAACGTCGTGCTCCCCACAAAGGACCCTTCTGTAGGCAAAGCTACCAGTTTACCACATCATCTCTTTTTGGCAATATCTATGTTTTTTAATTAGCATATTTTTAGCATTTAAGGAAATCTTTTTGATGACCTTCAGATATTACACGTTGCGGTTATTATTGAGTTCCTTGTTCTTAAACACCTGAAGTATCATAACTGGCGCATATGTAACCGGAATTTCTGAGATAATTGCAAGTTAAAAGTATTGCAAGCAGACACGAATAAGAAAATTTACTCTCATTGAATTCAAGACTTCTAAGCAGGAAATTCTCAAAAACATTTTTTTTCAAATGGGAGGCATTTTGATAGTTCTCATTAGCCCTTTACCTGACTTCGGGCTTCACAGAAGGGAGGAACATTAAGGTGAGAAAATTTCTACAGGGGAAAAGATGAGCGATCCACAGATGTAAAAGAGACAGATAGACACAAAGACAGAAAAAAGGCTAGATGAGTACTGCGAAGGGGCTAAATATGACATACAGTGAGGTCATGGAAGTTTGAAGTCAGAAGTCAACTTCCGGTTTATAGACTTTTTGCCGTACGAGCATAAGTTGCCCAGAATGCACCACGTGGAGGTAAGTCTATCGCACACCCCTTCTCTAAAACATTTATTCGTTTTGATATAGAGAAATATTTAAATTTCATTATGCTAAATTTAAAATGAATAAATCTCTTTGGCATGAGACTGATATTGTAAAAGTGAAGTGTTTACAAAATTATAATTGGGTTGCTTATCGCTGAAATCTCAAAAAGATTTACTTTAATAAGAACCTTAAATACCTCATAGAGATAGCCTTTCAAGTTGGAGAATAAAATATCAACCCTATATCACAATTCATTTTCTACGAAAATTTCCTAATGAAATTAAAAGCCAAACAAGCGAACGGTCTTTATACTTTGATTTTGAGACATTGGTGGTATTTTTAGAATTTTATAGCTTTCAATATAACATTGTTGTTTATTCCTGACCCCATATTGGAGTTATTTATATTTACTCTAAAAAATATTACACCTATAATTAAATAAAAAACTGAATATCTACAGTTCTAATGTTCCTCTAGACCTGATTTCAAAGGAAAAGTAGACAGCCGATAAGTCGGCTGCAAGCAGGTCAAAATTGTAGAATGTTGAATTAGTAAAGATTTTATGCATATTAAGCCGAAATTAAGCAAGACGTGGAATTTAAAGTAAAAGAAGGTACCAGAGTCGTTTGGTTGCCTGTCGCTAGTTTCTGTCTTCATCGATGGTAATAATGATATTTAAAGGTTTTTAAAGCTGTAGCGGATTGCTACCTTATTAAAGCCTGACCGACTCAGAAATCTCTATGGCAGATTCTCCAACATCTAGCTAGACTCCCAGAACCAGCTAAGCTATAGTCTAGCTATGAAGGAAACAGACGTGTAGCAAGGAGCACGTTTATTCAGGACGTATGTTGCGGATAAAGTGTACACCCAGGAAGCTTAATCATGATCAGGATGGCAGATTAGGTTAAACAAACAGAGGTTATTAATTGTCACTGTTTGTAAGGCTGCACCACCCAATCCTGGCGTGCAGGCATGCGATGACGTGTTAAGCTATGACGTGCCCCACAAAGCAAATAAAATAGATAAAAATGCTTTGGTAATGAATTAAATAACTCTTTTAAAATTTCGAAGGAGCCTTTAAAATAAAATAAATAAGGGTAAATATTGCTTTGTGTATTCCTAATGACCAGTCAATAATAGTCTATTGTTTTGTACTATTGTATGATAATATGCTTCATCTTAATGTTTGTCATGTTCCCTACTTAAATTTTATCAGTAGCTGTTACTGCATTTGGTTGTCAATTGGATAACTTTTCAATATTTTCTGTTCCACATATTCATAAATTGGAAAATAGACAAATTTGGTTAAAAATGCCTTCCTTACTAAAACTAGAATAAACATATGAATAACGTCTATCGTTGAAAACAACTACTAAGACAATATCCGCAATTCTGGCGTCAATTGCATGAGCATACAAAGCAAAGAATTGGTCTTGATCTATTTATATTCAATTCGAGCCCGGATATTAATCCGATTCATTTGTTCCTGTATTCTATATGATTTCAGATTATTATTTTAAATGTTTTTTCACTCTTTCGGTCACTTTAAAATGCATTTTGTATTCATTTGCTAAAACTTAAATGTTCAATAAAACTCTGGCGAATTAAGCATTTTGAGCTTGAAATGGCATTACTTCTACCTAATTTCGTCTTTTTTCTCAGACTTTCTATTGTTAAAATAATTTTTTTGCATTTTATTTTATTTGTTTTTCTTTGCTTGCAAACAACCTTGACATTTTGCACGATTAACACATTGTGAGGAAATGCCAGGAATTGCTTTTTTCGACAATGCATAAGTTTTGTCTCTGTTTTCGCTTATTATGGTTAACAAGTGAAGTGCATTTTTAACGTTGACCATTACTGGGTTAGATGTGTTACTCCTTTTAAACAGTCCTTTGCATAACCCAGCCAAAGCTATTTATACGATTTTGAAAAAATAGTGTCCTCACTTTATTATAAGTAATTTACAGTGTATACTTTTCTTTTAAGTAAAAAACAAAAAGAGATTAATTTGATTTCAGACTACATATCTAAACACTCAGTAAAGAAAGAATCATTGATTTCATTTTAAGAAGAATTGGGTGGTAGGATTGAACGAGAGGAAACACTAGAGGAACTCCATTTCATCTTGAGCCTATATTCATCGGGCCGTCTTCATTCTAAATTTGAAATATCGTGAAGAGAGTATATCATACAATTCGATGTAATTTCGTAACTGCAACCATTTCAACTGTTCTTTTAGTACCTGTTGATAGGATGTCGAAATATACCATTAAGGTGAACAACTAGGTATCATTTTCAGAGAGTTGATTATGCAGAGAGTCAAACACACACACAGAATTTTCCTTTTTGAGAAGCTGTCATTCGTTGTTGACTTTCAATTGAGAGAGGAGCAAATTTCTTTTCAAGGTTTGCCATCTGTATTTTGCTCTCCCATCCTTTTACAGAAAATCCCTTTATTATCCGCGTGGAGGGGTCTAAATTAATTAGCTATTTAGAGGTACTTAATTTCTTTCGATGAGACTTAATTATCACTGACCAATATCATCCTCCATGTGAAAGCTTGCACATAAAGCCATTTATCACTTCTGAAAATGTGACGAGGGTTTTATCACAAAGATCCTTCCAGCATTTTTTTGCTTAAATTTGAACTTTCAAGATTTTCGGGAGATATCTGGCTCACATGGTTTATTCTTGATTTGAGAGAGGGCATTAGGAGCCGAACGGATTAAACAATGTAAGAAGCAAAAGTGTAATTGGTGACACTTAGAGGACCATTTTAAAGCAAACATTTCAACTAGATACCCATCTAATATTGGAGTTTCCGATCTTTTTTCACCAGAAGGATTATTCTCGCCATTTTATTGAAAAAAGTTTCGGACTCTGTATTAACACATATGGTTCTCCGTGAAATTTTAATACTCTCCTTTTTGCAAAATTAACAAATTTAATCTCCGTCTTCACTCATCCCTCTGTGCTCAAGGTAATTCTGATTATCGATTTTTATTGGATTTTTATTTCTGTAGTTGTTTTGATAACTCAGCTAATTTATGGATATTTTAAACACCCCTTTCTAGCCCATGCACTCATTTCTTCTTCCATATACTTTCTCGCTTTCGGAGCTGCAATTTTGTTATCTAGTACTATGAAGTCTCTTTTCATTTACCGGTCTGTAATTTGCAACTTCTCAATTTCTCATGAGGAATAACTTTTCTTAACAAGACCGGGTTTCAAACAAGATCCACCAGAACCTAAATTTTCGTTCAATTTATCTCAAGAAATGAACCAAATAAATTAGATTATTCTAGAAATTTGCGAGACTCAAACAAGCTTCTAACCAAAAGTAAGACTCATAAACAGAACACAAGCCGCAGGAAGCACAAATTTTATTATGATATATTTGCATTATCAGGACTATTTGGCGAGTTGCAAGTCAAGGAAATGACGTTAGAAATGTATAGAAGCGGAGGGACAAACGAATACAACATTTAATGCAGATATATAAGCTATTCTCACAATTAGTCTTATTCATACAATTGTACAACAAATGTTGGTAAAAAGATGAAATTCACACAAAATTTTTTCAATAAAGACGATTTGGATACAGAAGTAATTCTAGTGAAAAGCGCATATTAATGGAGGATAAATCATGATAAGGATTCGAACTTCTAAAAATGGGGTTGAATATGTTTGTTACGACATCTTTCTATCGTTCAACCATTGCACGATCTCGTCATATGAAAGCACAAAAACCTTACTCCTAGAAGGAAAAATGATGATGACTTCTGTGTAAATATGCATGCTTTGATTTGAAGTTATCACATGTTAATATAAAGTGAATGGAGGTAGGTGGGTTTTCATTCACAAAAAAGGAGTCGCTCGTAGAAAAGGCGTTGATTGTGAGAAGCGGACGAGGGAGTGGCAATGGGAAAAATTGAAAAAAACTCTAAGATTTCGATTGTTTTCCAGAGGTTTGTGGTGGTGGTGGTAAAGCTTTCGGATTGTAGTTCAAACTCTTGAAGGTCACCTGAAGTATTCGATTTCCAAGAGCATATCTGCAATTTTAACAAGAAACAAAACTAAAAATCCACAAATCTAGAGCGTAATAAATTGAATTTAAATATTTAAGATCTCCATAATTAAAAAATAATAAGACTCGCTAATCGAATTATACATGTTGAATAATTCCCAAATTATCGTCTTTTTATAACATTAAGCGAATGGTTTTTATCATAAAAGTTTCTGTGCATGGCACGGCATTCTTAAGAAGAAATGTTTTAACTATGCTAAACTTTGAAATATTAACTGCTTTATTGAAAATTTTCGATCCCATTGAAACAAACCATGAATAGGATACCATCGAATTGAAAGAGCTTCTATTTCATATTCTAACCCTTATGAATACTATTTGAAGGAAATGTAGTTTTTTAATGAAAAATGGTGAATTTTTCATGCTTTCGATTACCAAGGGGAAATACCTAATGGCTTGAACACGAGTTGTATAAACTCAATTTCCTTCGACCAAGTGATAAATCACGGGAAAATTTAAAGCAAATAATACCATACTTCACAGCGGCAGGGTATAATGAAATTGAAAAGACACTGGATTTGCAAGGTAAATCAAGGTAAAATTAACTCTCATACACCTAAAGTCTTTGGAGTGAAATATTTGGGAACATCGAATTCCCTTATTTGCAATCTACTGCATTAAAAGTGGAAATGCATGCTAATTGCGTGTTTTTCGCCAATTTTATCCTAATACATGTCCTACAAACCACTAGAATTCACGAAAAAGCGGAGTGGCCACAGGCATGGGCTAGTGGTGGCTAATAAAAGAGTCGGCAGGGTTCCAGGTTAAGTACAAATAACCCAGAATGTCTAGATTAGTGAGATTGAGTCATTGTTCCAATCTCATCCCTCCAGCTAGGTAGAAAAATATTGGCAAAATATTTGCTCTGGAGATAGCGAAAAAGAAAATCACCTCAAATTCATTAACTTCGTCATAAATCCAGAAAATATCTCTAATCTACTGTTTTAAAATTAGGGAAATTGAAAATATGTAAAATATAAGGAAGTATTAATGCTGATGAATCTATATCTTATATTGAGTATTTGACTTTCTATTGTTTGAATTGGTATAATAATAATTGCAATGGTGGAAAATCTAACTTTTTAAATTGATTGATCTTAGTATTCTTATCTTCGAACACGAACTGCTTCAGGCAGATTTATAATAATATTATTTGTCATTTCTAAATTCAAATAAGAAAACACTCGCTTTCACTTCCCAACGTTTGCGCTTTTTATGAAGCGAAAAATCTGTTAAAACATATTTAATTCTTTGAATTGCGTGCGTAACCATTCAAGTGAGAAGATTAAAAAAATGAAGAACTGGAGACTTTTCACTTTCAGTATTTGCTGCGTGAATGGTGAAGCTTGCTCGAATTTTAGAATTTTCAACTCTAACACACTTTAATGTCGCAATGCAATACAAACTCTTGCACTGCATTGCATCTACATTCAAATTGAATTTTAATTTCAATAAGGAAAAATATCATTAATGCAAAGAATTTTATGACTATTGCAGTGAGCAATAAAAAATTAACTCATTTTATCGAAAACGAAGAAATGAAATAACAAACAAGACCACCCAGGGTTATCTACGATAAAGGATGGGAAAACTTCAAATGGACTATTCTTCCTGTGTACCGTACAATAGCCATGAATCAGTGGTGCACCTTATATTTAGTTTTAAGAAAATGGAGGAGTGGGTGGGGGGTGGGGTGGGGGGTGGAGGGTAGGTAACTTTAATTCAGAATTTTTGCTAAATAATGACAACGCTAATATCCAGTTCGCTACCTACATATTACGAGATGCGCGATAGACTTACCTCCACTTGGCACACACTGGTCAACGTACATTCATACGACAAAAATATCCATAAACCGGTATTTAACTTCTAACTTTAAACTACCATGACTCCGCTGTATGTTATAGTCGACCATTACTACAGTACTCCCCTTACAGTTTTCTTCACCTTTGTGTCTGTCTCTTACATCTATGAGCGACTCTTTTGTTTCTCCTCTCGACATTTTGTGACATTGATGTTTCTCCTCTACATGAGACCCAAAGTCAACTAAAGGGCTAATGATAACTATCGTAAAGGCTACCATTTGATATAAATTCATATATTCCGCCGTTTAAATTGGACTCAGATTGTAAACCAACTGAAGAATTGACCCAACAATGCTTTTACATTAGATTAATGCGCAAATCTAACTGGTTTGCCATGTTTCTAAATGTATTTCGTTAAAATTTTCATAATTGCGAATTACGGCTATTTGGAACTGACTGTCAAATGTAAGGGATAACAAAGTGGGTTTTTGAGTGGACGGGGATAAAAGGTGACACAAATGTAAAAACTACCTCAAGCTAGTTTTGTGCACAAAATGTGATAATCCTGAATTAGCAACTAAAGTATTTCTGTCGCAAATTTCTCCATTTTTGTCATTTGAGAGTGGTAAATGTTTCCTATTGAAAAGAACACGCTATTTTTAAACTAAACCTCTGTCATTCTCTCAACAAGATTCGGATTAAATCAATAGGCAACAACTCGTTGGTTGAGAAAGTTGGGGAAAGATATATATCTTGCGATTATATGGGAAGAATACTACGAGCACTGAGCTCAAATACTGTACCGCATTGCTATGATTCAAATCAAATTTGAATAAAGAAATATCCGAGAAAAAAATTGCAACTATATGCAATTTCAGTCTGAAATAATTTGCTTTCATCAGTGTTATTTCACTCTTATTCATAATTTCGATTGGACATGTGTGCGTAAAATGTATGTATCAACATTATCGCACTTATCACGATTGCAAGAAGATATACATCAAAACGATTTGAATGACAAATCATTCATTTATATGAATTAATTAAGCGCAGTAGGGTATTGTGAACACGAGTCCACCCAGAGGTTCAGAGTTTAGGCAATAAAATGTAAACTATGAGAGAATATTTCAATAAGAAAGTATGCAGGTCGGACTTCACTGTTTTATTCCCTATGGTACTATTTCACCGTATGGTATATTCGGATGGTATCTCAAGATCAAAATTTTTCCATATTTTTGCGTAGGAAAGGTTATTAAATGACTACTGCAATAATTTAATAGTTCTAGAAAGAACCTCATATACATCAAAGAAACTGCGTAAAAATAAATATGGCTGGAATTCCAGCTATGGTTAACATTGTGTGCCGGAGGTGTATATGTCATGAATATGGCGTGTCGGGGTCACGAACTCAATACCCACCAAGGCACACACAGTAAATGAAATGACAAACAACTTATAAACCGTTTCTTAAGCAAATTTTAATAGAGAAATTGACAGATTATAGAGTCAAAGCAGTCCAATTTTAAGCAAATTATGCTATTTAAAAATAGCCAAAATTCCAGCGTATTTGCAAAATTCATTAAGCCAAATCTATAAATCTTAATAAAACAAAATATCGACCGATTTAAATTATTACTATAATGATCTTACGCTGAACGAACTGGGGTGTCGTAATCAAACATTAGTAAAACCATAAATGTATTTCTTTCCAACGAAACGCAAATATTGCTACATGTTTAACCAAACTTATTAATATGTGTCAGCCATAACTGCCAGCAACACATTTTAAAATGGACAGTAAATCAATTTCAATATCTTTTAATAATTGCAGTATTTTATAGAAAAGTATTATTGGAAGTGCTTCACTCCTTACAGTGTTTGATGTTTCGAAATTCGTTTCTTTACTTAAGCAAATGGGCTCATTTTATATCGGAAAGTGGACGATCAAATTCCTCCAGTAAGGTTAGATAGAAATAGAAATGATCATTACAAATGGAATTGATCCACCTGGAGGATTGCAGACTTAATTTCATCTTAAAATAGGTGTATAGATTGAGTCCTCATAGTAATTTAGCGATGCATAAGGCATTTGACTGGTAGTCCATTTAGACGTGATAATATTTTTCATGGAAATAAAATTTAAAGGCCAATACGTGAAAGGATAGACAAGAGTATTTCAGGTACATAAAAGAGACTAGCAACATCTTTTCAAAGCACAAATAATTTGAAATTCTATTTCACCTCGTTGTATTTCATTTAGTTCTGCATTCCTTTGGGACATTACTCAACTTCCTACTTCTTTTCCATCAAACTAACGTTTTCAGCTTAACAGTAGCAATTTATTCTTTAGAATACTGAAGTGTGTGGCAGTTGGGATTGATAAGCACCACCTCGACGCAATTAGAAGTAAGGTAAAAACATAAATCCCATCAATCTAACTAAAGGTCGAATTAGTCCACAAATAAGAGTCATTAGCAAAAAGATAGCTATTTAAGAACAAAGTGTTGTTATTGTACATTATCGAGGAAAATTAACTGTCATATTAACACTATTTAAATTTAAATATAGATATATATATAATTATGAATGCATATATATATATATATATATATATATATCTACATTGATGAAATATCTAGATCCAATCTTTACTTATTGACCATTAATAACATATCACCATGGAATTACCAATACGTGTTTTAATTTGACAATTGTTTGTCGCTGAAAAAGAATAACCAAAGTCATTATTGAATTCTCGACTTTAGCTCTCTCTCTCTCTGTTTAATGATCAGAAGCCGAGATCACTTTAATAAGCAATCTGAAGGTGAGTCGACATACATAATCGAATAAAAATGCGAGTTATGAAAAAAGAATGGTGCTGGAGGTGACGCTTTCGAATTTTAACCAATTGTGCACTGTCCGTGACATCAGTTATCTCGAATTTCACTTTGACCATATTTAAATTGAGCCAAAATTAAATTAAAAAATGCGATCAATGCTATAATGATGCTTCAACCGTGTAGATTCGATTATATATGAATATTGGCGCTTGATTACTACTTCAAAGTCAAAGCCGCTAATGCATCCACTACTCGACATATGGCGGTTCTGATTTATTTTATTTCGCAAATTTATTGCCACACACGCGTTTTAGATCGAATATAAGTCATTTTGCTATTTTTTTTCAATAGTAATATTCCAGACAGTTTGGTAGTGTTTGGGATCTTTGAACACTCTTATCTGTAAACCAAAATGAAGAAGTAAACGATGAGGGCTAATGTATTTGAATTTAACTAAATTATTAGAAGATCTATATTTCAAGATGCATACCTGCTTAAACTTGTAGTTTAATGTTTAGATCGAAATCTGAATGCATCATAAAGTTAGAACTTACAATATGTTCAGTAAAATTTAAGTGGTTATTGAACAATATAGACACCTTTAAGAGATCAAACGTACAAATATCTGTTATAACAGAGAAAATGAAAGAGTGATTTTAATTTTTCAGGTTAACTCTCGTCTAACTCTCCCCAAAGAGATATCTTAAATGGGAAATTTTGCAATTGATAATTGCGAACCAAAAACTCATGTCGTATAGATAGCATGTAGCCATAAAGATAAAAAACTTTCAGCCATTCGGTCTAACACATTCGTTTGAGGTAGACGAGAAGTGGAAATTCGAATTCAATGTTGGAATAAAATCACATTTATTATCACAATAAATTGAAGCAATTTTTGCAAAAAAAATTATAGTTTTTTATTCTACACTCGCCATTTCAGATGTTAGCACTAATTAATGCTATGTAAGTGTAAATATAAATGCTACATATTTTGAGCACAGTTAAGGTTATTAATAACTGAGATGAGCACCAATTAACCGTCGATATATGCTATTTACGACTTCGCCAATAGATATGCATTAACTTGCCTCAACAGAGAAAATAATTACACTCCGAAAATTCTTATTTGAATATCCGAATAAGGAAAGGGTAAACTATAGTGAAAGATAGTAAAAGTGAGTCATTTTCATAACAAAGCTATGAAAATATATTTATATCCATAAAGAGCTGTCTTAACAACAAAATAACTCAGTGTCAATCGCTATATATGGTGGAGGTCTTTTAAAAGGCTAAATTTCCCAAGCAAACTTAGGAAAGGGGCGCTTCACACACTGGGTGTACTCCAAAAAGAATTGTATTAGCCGAACGCACAAGCCATTCAGTTTGCCTTAATTAAGGGCAAGAAGGTGATTCGAAATGTTAATTTTTCACTAAGTTGCCTTCAATGTGAAATATGTCCTTGAAATGGTCTTTCTTTTACACTCCGTTTTTCATTACAAGGAATACACCTTCATTTACTCTCCTAAATTGTACGCTTAGTGTATTAATGCTGTAGAAATCTCTAACGACACCAAAAAGCATCCACTCTCCTTTACTTTTCAACGCTTAATTTATGCGAAGTCCTATATCACTCAAAATGGAGACCCTCAAAAGCAAATCAAAATCGTATGCATAAAGCTACTGCAATTTTATTCTTTTAGATGTAGGTAAATTAGTCACGGGCGGAATTCTTTTTGAATGATGATGAGGTAGAAATTTCATTTCATGCAATTACAATATGCGTCATTTAAAAAAGCCCGCTAAATAAATTCACAGAAGTATAAGCACAACTCAGAGTTTATATTTAATCATTATTGAAATATAAAGAAATAATAACTTTGACATGGCACCAAATTATAACTAAGACTTAATATTTAATTTTACATTTAAATAATATAAAAAAAAACTCAGTTAAATTTTCGAATAATAAAGGAAGCAGTAATAACGCTCACCCATTCAGATGTTGTATTGCGTGCACGGCTTCCTCGTAGTTGACCATGTTCACAAACCCGAAGCCCCGACATTTTGATCCAGGTCCATGTTCTCTCGCCACTGACACAGATCTCACAGCGCCGAATGGACCGAATAGTCGCCACAGCGTTGCTTCTTCCGTATCGGGAGCAATATTATGCACAAATAGACACCAGGTCCCACTGCCCGGGGGTCGAATAAGTGCTGGAACGGGCTCCAGAGAGTTCAGAGGGGGTGCCGCTAGAAGGGGAGAAGGATGTGGACCAGGAGACATGCAGGAAAGAGTTGAAAGAGCAGCTGAAAGGTCGTGGTTTATCGATGGAGCTCCTATAGGAAACCTTTTTTTTGTAAAGGGGACAGTCAGTTAGCTTTCGAGAATTATGTGCTTCATGTATATGCGTCTAAATTTTGTGAAACCCAGTAAATGCTAGCAATTTTTTAAATTTTAATTTAAGTTGTGCTGCGATTATTTCTAATATTGAATATTTTATTTAGGCCGAAAGAAATGGCTTTTAAATTTAATCTCAGGGAATTAGACATATCAAAGATCTTTCGTAGAGTTAATTATATTAATAAAATAAATACAATACCTTAATGACAGTATACTTAAATGCTGTTATTGTTATTTTAGTCAAAGCAACTAATGAAGTAATCACGCGAAAATTAAAGAAATTCGAAAGCGTCATAACATTATCTGTAAATAAGCTGTATATCACTAACAGAGTGGATGGTGCAAATTGATCACAGTTTAATAACTTATTAAACAATTAACAATAAAATGATGCATAAAATTCAGTTATTGAAATAGTAGACCGTGAGGAGGGGATCTATACCTGAGGAGAAAAAAAAACATTAAAATCCAAAAAAATCAATTTTGGAGGAAAATCTTTGTATTACGTCAATTTTGGCATTCCCTAAAAAAACCTCTTAAATTACCTTTTTTCTCCATATCCTCAAACTTTGAAATTCAACCCTGCTTTACACTGAGAAGGAAACAAAATTACATAATAACTAAAAGTGAAAGTAGGACAGGCCAGGAGTGGCAATTGTCAAAAAGGCCATAATTGTAAATTGACGAAGAGAAACGACATCAAGACAGTAATCAGAGGCGATGCATACAATTATAAAGCCATCGATGGTAATATAAAAGGGGCTCAGTATTTCATGGAAAGCATTAAATGTATAAATAATGACGTACTAAATTTATACTAAATTACAATGTTGATATCCGTATCTAATGGAGTATTTTTAATGGTACCAGACCTCCAGATATACGTGCGCAAATGCCCAAATTCCAATAAAAAGTTGGAAGGAAAGTTCTTTGTAGTTATATACAAAGTCAATTTGTTCAATAAGAGTGATCATTTAATGTTCATATTGCAAATAGGATTTGACCATAAAGATATCTGATTTTAGATATCACTAGCAAATAGGGGTGAAGTGGGGTGGGGGGGGGGGGGGGAGATACAAAAGAATGCAATATCTTTCTTGAGAAAATAGGAAATCTCTGGACCTCAAGGTACAGCTTGTGTCGCCTCTTTCTTAACATTTTCACTTCACCTAAGGGGTTTGTTCCTATTGCCTAATAGTTTATATGACTGATGGGAAAAAGCGCAATGATTCTCATGAAAAGGTATTTAAATTCGATTGCAACTTCATAATCGTACGTTTCAAGATCCCATTTGGATGGCAATCGACAGAGGCTCATATCAGGCATTGTGTGAGTTTGATGAGCGGTGCAATTTTGTCGATAGCATCCTCAATTAAGTATTTTCGATGTAGAATAGAACAGAGATATGCTCACAAAAAGAATGCTAACGGAAATTGCAAATTTAGTGATCTAAGCAAAACAGGAGCCCTATAATGGGACCAGAGAGAAGAAAGAATATTCAGTAAAGATCTCCTAGAGATCGTAGAAACTGTATTAAAACCAGTTTCAAGTATAAACTGGGTTAAGTTTAATTATAATTTGTAGATAAAGACTTAGAACTCCAACGTAAATGGAATACATTAAGTTTTTCTTCAAAATAATTGTAATAACTGAGTGGTTTCAACTTTCCCGAATTTGGTAAAAACAGATTTATTCTGACTATGTACTCTATGGTCATGCTTTTTGATATAAATCCAATTAGATCTAATAGTTAATAGATATTTTATAAAGTAACCATGTTTCCTTAAATTAAATAAAATCCTCAGGTTAGGCAAAATGTTAGAGATTATAACTATAATTGCTCAATTCCATTTCTTGAATAATTTTATTTGGTATACTGCTCTAGTGCAAGTTCGACCCCAATTTAAATAAAGAATAAAATTCAAATCACCATAATTTATACCAAATGATTTATTAATATCCGGAAAAAAAGCACATAAATCTATTATTGCTTAGGCTTTAGTACTGCTAAAAATATATTGTCACAAAGCATACTTTTCTCTCTCCAAATATAACTACTTTCCAAAAAAAACAATTGCCCAAAACTGCTTTATGTCAAAAATGATAAAAAGTGACCTTGACAGTTGGTAGATATAATAACTTAAGGGATGTGTCATTAGTTTCTATAAATAGTAGCTTCCAATAGTGCATAAGTGGAGTCAGCGAACAGTTGCGGTGAGGAAATTTGCAGAAAATTACTTGGCCACGAAAGAGAAAGTGAAGGGAGATGAGGATTTCTCTGCAGATAGCGGGAGTTGCCTTGGAAGAAGAGCGAAAACTACCGATCTTTGGGGAAGGCGGCAAAAACGGGTCCACAAACGCACAAAAAGTATCATTTTTAAATTTTTTGGCAAACGCGATTCAACATTTTTAATCTGCGATGTAAATTTGTGGAATTTTAATCTTTATGTGATTTTTTTGCATTTTAATGCAAATTTACTTGATGTCAAATTAAAATATATCGTTGTTACGAAGGCTCGAACTAGTAATAATTAGAGCATTTCTCATATTAATAAGAAAGTCTAACAATTCTCTGATTTACGTGAATAAAATTGTAATTATAACTATAAAGTCATTGGCACAACTGCAAGTCAAATTGAATTGCTTTTAACTTGGTGAAGGGATCACAACCAATGTGTTCACTAAAACAGCAAAATGGTTTGTACTTTTTCCACATATGTTCATAGTTTGGCTACTACAGCCATTACATTATTTACATTGCAAAAAATAACCTGTTATTCTTCTCTAAAGAGTTTAACTTGAATAGAAGTTAGGCAGTAATATTCGAAAAATGGTCCTCCAATCGATTTTAAAGTGAAGGTTTGGATAACTTAATGCACGTTGGAAACGTTTGAACACATTTCCTGCTTTTTGAACACAGTAAAGTAAGAAAAATGGAATTCATAGCATTCCTTGCGCATCCAGAGAATAATTTTAGTCAATATTTTAGGTTTTTGTCATGGTTATTCAGGATATTTTCAGAAATGACCGTTAGAGTTTGGGACCACTGCCTCTTATGGAAAACTGGAAGTGGTTATGAAAAGATTCTTCATGCCTGTTGAAAATTTCATAGGCACGTTGAAGTTATGGCTGTCCTTCGCACTTGTAGATTTGTGGAGCTCACAAAGTTGTCACCGCTGAACAAAGTAATCTCACGCGCACCCAGACAGGCTCGAGGATGCGTCATGTAACGTAGCGTAAGGAGTAAGTGCGATCTTGAGTACAGAAAACACACAACCAATCGCCAATCGATATTCCCCCATACTAACATAATGATCTAAGCCTCTGTCTGTTCACACGCCACACACACGCACGCATACGCTTATCCCAAATAATATTTTCCACGTCATACATCTGCTTCCTCTATAGTTTTGCGGTAGATTAACATTTTCTGGAAGTTTTACCAAACATAGAAGAAACAGCCATAGAGATTTCTGAATATGATCAAGCCTTATTAGTGTATCAAACCGCTACAGATTGAAACTTTGGGACACGTTATCGCTCTATGCGTCATCGTATGCCTGCATGTCTGCTCGCCAAGATTGGGAGGTGCGGCCGTACAACTCTGTGTGCAGCGACCGTACCAACAGTGACCAATCATCAAACTCTGTTTAACCTAAACCCACATCCTGATCATGAGTAGCTCCCTGCGTTTACACACTTTATCCGCAATATATTCACTGAATAAACGTGCTCCTTGCTACACGTCTGTTTCCT